TGTCACTGGAACTTTGGGACTGGTGCGTAGCCAGATCGGTGTTGATAACAGCTCTTCACCTCCCAGGCGAGACCAACATCGAGGCGGACACGCTCAGCAGGACCAGGTCAACCTCGCACGAATGGAGGTTGAACCCCGACGAACTGGCCAAGATCTTCAGGGAGTGGGGCCTCCCGGCCGCAGACCTCTTCACGTCGCCGCAAAACGCTCAACTCCCGCAGTTCGGTGCTCGGCTTGCTCCGAACACGGTACCGGGGTGCCTCGGAGACGCGTTCCTTCTAGACTGGTCGAGACATCTGCTCTACCTCTTCCCACCCTTCCCGCTCATCCCGAGGGTGATCGAAAGGATCCAGTCGGCGCGAACGAACTGCATCTTGATAGCGCCAGAATGGCCATGACAACTGTGGTTCTCGGTCCTCCTCCAGCTATCGGAGGGGCAGATGAGACGCCTTCCACTTTGGCAGGATCTGCTCTCCTGGGAAGACGGTCAGCTCCTCCACCCTGACCTCGCTTCTCTGCATCTCTCGGCGTGGCGGATCCGGTCCTGAGGTCTCTGTGTCCGGGAGTTCTCCCGATCCTCGATGCAGCTCACAAGCCAGCAACCAAAAAGTGCTGTTCGGCGTGCCTCAACCGGTTCCAGGCTTTCCTTTCCGAAAAGGGCCTGGACGATGATCGACCGTTGGTACCGTCAATCCTTTCGTTCTTGTTGCACCTTACCGAACGGGGCTTGTCGCTGTCGTCACTCAAGTCTCACCTGGCGGCCATCTTTTGGCAGCTTCAGCGGACAGGAGAAGCTTCCTTGTTTAAGGACAGCTCCATGAAGTCTTTCCTGCGGGGTTTCAACAACCTACACCCCCCAGTCCGCCCCCCGACTCCGGGTTGGGACCTCGACCTTGTGCTGGCTCGGCTCGCACAGGCACCCTTTGAACCGTTGGCATCGATTGACCTTCGACTTCTGTCATGGAAGGTGGCTTTTCTTGTTGCTATCACCTCGGCCCATAGGCCCTCGGAACTTGCGGCACTGCGTGTGGACGAACCGTACTTTGTTGTCCACGAGGACAGGGCAGTCCTCCGCATGGACGTGACATTCCTCCCTAAGGTTGTGTCCCCTTTCCATGGTAATGAAGACATTGTCCTCCCCTCGTTGTGTCAGTCTCCCTCCACCCCGGGGGAAAAAAGACTTCATATGCTCGATGTGCGGAGAGCATTACTCTGTTATAGGGACAGAACTGCTCAGTCTCGTAGGACTCAAAGACTGTTCGTGGCGTATGCCCAGGATAAGATGGGCCTACCGATTACGGCGCAACGTTTGTCCCACTGGATTACCTCGACAATCGAGCTTTGTTATCAGCTTGCTCGACAACAATCCCCCTCGGTTGTCCGGGCTCGGTCAACCAGGGCTATGGCGGCATCGACAGCCTTCCTTAAGGGGATTCCCCTGGACGCTATTTGCAAAGCGGCCATTTGGAAAAATCCTCAGACATTTGTCTCACACTATAGACTAAATACCAGGTATACACCTGACATGGCCTTTGGGAGGGCAGTTCTGGAGTCGTGTCCGCCTTAAACTTTGCAAAGTTTCTTGTATTTTATTGGTACCGGGAGCTTCTTCGGTACCGTATATTGTTGTGAATGTTATTACCATGTTTTTACTTGAATTCAACTG